TCATGGTATCCTGCTGCAGTATTTGGTCAGTTATTTTGCAAATAGGAGAGTGAACATCTCCAATGGTGATATGTTACAATTTAGTGAGGATATAAGGTGGGCTAACCACTGAGCTCACGTATGGATTCTCTTTTCTAATGCTCATGTCATCCCTAGGAAAGAAGCACTAGGTTGCCTCTGGATGTGAAAAGCAAGGTTAAGTCCTATGCTCCAAATCATTCAGCCATGTGATTTCTGTTCTCATGGGCACTAGTGGTCTGCCCTTCTTCCTCTTCCTTCTTCTCCTTCAATTCTCTTCCTCCCAAGAACAAAACTCCTCACTCGCACCAGTAAATCTGCCACTGTGAGCCATGTGTCAGGAGAGGAGAGCTGCTGATATATACCATGGAGTCAGTAGCTTTGATTTTTGACAAAAGAGTTCTACAATAAAGGATTAGTAAATTCAGTTGCCTGGGGTATCCTGGAGATCATGAGCCTGAATATCCTGAGATGGAAGGCAAAGTCTGGGATATTCCCAATAACCTTGATGGTGATGAAGCTAATGATGAGGATAAGCAATAGCACTGGTTGAGAGTCACCAAGGTACCAGGTTCTTTTCAGGATTCCATACATAGGATCATTTTTACTTGCCGCAACAGTCCCAAGATGCCAGGAAACATTATAACTCCCACTGCTTTTATAAATACACAGGGTGAGAGACAGGTTAGGGAAATTGCCACAGTCCCAAGGAAGAGGTGGAGCTGGGAATCCAACTCAGCGATTTGGGTTTCATGAGGCTGTGTATAAAAGAGAATGATGGCTAAATAATAGAATTGAATGATTTGCCAAGATTGGATGGTAAATCCCAATCAGAGTCTTTGGGAATGTTTGGGAAGACCTCATCTCATTGAGCCCTACAGTCATGCATGACTTGGGTACTGCCATTAAATCCACTTGCAGATAAAGAGGTTGCATAACTTTCCCAGTATATCTGTCCAAGTTCATATCAAAGCCTTTGCTGAGACACAATTACTAAATTACTTAAGAGAAGCCCTTAATCTCTGCCTCTTCCAGTCCAAAAGTGCTAAGAGACCCTGTAAGTCTTTGTGAGGCCCTGAAGAGCTTGGCTCTCCTCCTACAGAAATATCCTCCTTTCTCTGGGATGTTGCATCTGGCATTGTTATTAAACGTTGTTCTGTGATACCAGAGTGCAGTGACATAAACCGGAGTGTGACCCACAGTACAGAGGCCAAACGGGGTCAGGCCAGGACTCAGCTTCTTCTCTGTGTTAAACTTTTCCAGAGAATTCCTGATGTGGAACCCACAGCCTCCTTTTCTGTAACTGGCTTATAATTCCCTCAATGATAAATTACCAAAAAGTAAAATTTAAAAGCCACTTAGGTACATATCCTGCAAATATAATTTTAGCAGATTTCTTTTCATTAAGGTTTTGTTCTTTTTTATATATTTTTTTCTCTTTCTTCCTAACAAGGCAGTTCCCCTGGCTGATTTCCTGTCCGTGGTTTTGAGCTGGATTACAATACGTGGGCTGAGCATGCAGCCCACGGTGAGCTCTCTCCCAGTGCCATCTGCACACCTCATCTGACGGTGAATCATGCATTCTTCTGTCTTAATGTGTCTCTCATATGGCAGTTTGTATTGTTATTTAAATTTTTGTGTGTTTAAGTCTTGTCTCTTCAATCAGTTCGTAAGTTTCTTGAGGTCAGGGGCTATGAAGTATTTCCTTTGTAGCAACCACAAAGCTCTTCAACAAATTGACAATTAACATGTTGGAGGAACTCCTTCACATCTGTTGAGCTCTGCTCCATGCACATAACATTGTGGTGGCTTCATAATCTACAAAAACTTTTGTTAAGGCCATGAGGCAGAACTCCATTAGGTGAGAGGTACTTGGGAAGTTCCAATAAGAAGTTGTGAGAATAAGGATCAGTCTGCTCTGCTTATACTCTGGCTCTGCCATTTAACAGTTATATGATGTCATCAAAGTTTTACATCTTTCTATAGCTCAGTTTCCTCAAATATAACAGTGTTAATAACCATGCCCTCATTATCAAGTTGGTTAAAGACTGAATAAGTTAATGTATATTAATTGCTTTAAAAGAGTCTCTGAGATTTAGAAAATGTTTAATAAGTGGCAAACATCATCATCATCATCATTATCAATGCCCTTCAACCAAAGGCCACCAAGAAAACACCTACAGTTTAATAAGTTGGGTTTATTATTCATATAAGGAGAACACCCATTATCAGGAACCACAGGGCATTTCAGTAGAACTAAAGTGGCCTATGGGCTTGTGTCGGCCATTTGGGAAAGGGTTTAAGGAAACAGGTTTCTCTGGATTGGATACTATCAGGAAGTAGGAATGATCTTGTAATTGGATATTTAGAGGAATCTTACCCAGAAGAAGAGGCCACACAGAGGTTGAGTATCTAATAAGTCCTAGAGAGAAGTAGGGAACCCCAAAAGAATATATAATAGGTTAAGAAGCAAGAGTCACTCAGATTAACCAAGAGAGGAAGTTTGGTCAATTTTTGCATTTTGGACAATGTTGACCTTTGTTCTGTTTTCAGAGATTTTTACAGAGTGGTCTTATTTTTGCCTTGTTCCAATGTGGTCTCTGATGTTAATTCTTAGTGAAATTGTGTCCGAAGAATCATCAAGGCCTAGCTGGCAGTCAGTACTGGCCCAGCTGCTGGAAGGCTGGGGTTGCCTTCCTCCTTTTCCTTGTGAATGAGGTACCAAAAGCCACCATCATGAACACTTTTCTACTTTCCAGAGGTTGTACTGAGCTGGTTACCTGCATTCGCTTACATCAGCTAACAACCACCTTGTAAAACACGTGTCATTATTACCAGTTTAAAAATGAGAAGACTCAGGCCCAGAGAAATGAGCAAAGTGGGCTGGGTCTTCTGAAAACCCAAGACTGCCCACCTCTGAAGCCTGTGACTTCGAGCTCTGTGAGAACAACAGTAACTTCACTGGGCCTGGTGCTTTGTAAGCAATATCTCATTTATTCATGGTTCTTTCCTGAAAAAGCCCAAGACTGCAAGACTAATACAGACCTCTCTCATGGAAAGCAGTGGTGTTCTAGCTGTGTCATGTATGTATAGAAGAAGGAGTGACATCTTCACTGATTCAATTAATAATTGTCAAATATTGTCTATGTGAAGCATTATGCTAAATACCAGGAACAGAGTTGTATGCATGAAATAAATGAAATCTATGACCTCTTAAACATTATGTTTTTGTCGGAAAGAAAAGCAATAGATAATAAAAAAAAAAGAAGAAGGAGAATGCATTAATTACAAAGTAGGATCTAAAGAGGGCTTCCTGGCAGGGGCACATTTGATTCGGGCTGCGGAGAATGAATAAAGGGCTATAAAAAAGTAGAGAATGTGAACCAAGGCACAAAACTGGGGAATGGCAGAGCAGGTGTTGAGACTGGTGAGGAACCCTGGCCCTGGGGAGGGAGTGCGTACTAAGGTGAGGTGCTGGGTGGGCAGGTTATTCTGCAGATGGTCTTGGAACCGGGATGGCATCCACGTTTCCATAGATAAAGGGAAGTCATAATATAGAAGGGCAAAAGATTGGCAAATGGGACAAGAGACCCAATGCCTGCTTCTGTCTGGGGCTTTCTTATTTCCATGGACTGGCTGGTGATGACTCATGGGCTCTTCTCAGACCAAACCCAATGATAACAGTACCCGAAAAGAGATCAGCGTTGCTACCATAGCAAACAACACAAGCCTCTGAGCTTTACAACATTGGAGAGATTTGTTTTTCCATGTTGCCAATGCTTCATATTGTGATTACAGTTATAAATTAACTAGCTCTCAAAAAACCTCAGAGCCGGGCATGGTGGCACACACCTGTAATCTCAGAGGCTCTGGAGGCTGAGGCAAGAGGATCTTGGGTTCAAAGCCAGCCTCAGCAAACTTAGTGAGGTCCTAAGCAACTCAGTGAGACCCTGTCTCAAAACAAAACAAAACAAAACAAAAAAAACAACAGGGCTGGAGATGTGGCTCAGTGGTTGAGTACCCCTGGGCTTAATCCTTGGTATCAAACAACACAAACAAACACAAAGAACCCACTGATTTCTAGGTTTGGGCTGGCACAGAGAAGACTAATAATATTCTGGAGACACATCAGGCTCTTCTATTTTTAAAACAAGGTCTTTTCATAATATTGACATTTTTGCCATATTTAGAAGTTCAGATAAACACCCAAACTTACTGCTTTTAAGTGGGACTCTGTCCACTGTTTGAATAAAATACCAATATGGCTGTGGCCCTGGCCTCTGCTCTTACAATAGAACTCTGGGAAAATATGAAGACAAAAGAGATTTCTAGAGTGTTGTGATAATGGGCTCTCCTATTGTAATTTTAAGGAAGCTTTTGAATTGTAAGTAACAAACTCACTTAATCCAGTTTAAGGGGAACCTGGGAGAACTTAAACAAGAGTAGGAGGCCTCATTTATTTTTTGGTACTTAACAACTGTCCATCTTGCGTTTGTTGACTACATAGCCATGTCCTCTGGGAATTCACTTCTTCCAATCTCCATCCATGAATTTCCGTAGAGCTGAATTTCCCTCGGGCGCCAGCCTGGCTTGTGACTCAGGTGTGCCAGCCAGGGTCACATTATCCATGCCTGGGGTTCTGGCTTGACCTGGTCGGACAGAGCTATTGAGAAGGACTGAGAGCTGGCCATCCTGGAAGGAGTCTCATTTTTGCTATTGAGAACAAGCCTAGCAGAGTAGAGCACTGGGTGTTTCTGGCAGCCATCACCCTGACCTCTAGGGGTGAGCCTCCCTGAGGACTGGGAGGAAGCCCTGCACAAGAGTTAGACTGGGCCAGTGGAGAAAGAGAAGCAGCTTGCTTGAGTCCTGGATCAAGCAGTGCCTGAAGCCATTACACCCTAAGTTGTTCACGAACATGAATTAAAAACTGAAAAACTCCCTTTCTTGCAGTTTAATTTATTTTTTTCTGTACTTGCAGCTGCAAGAAACAAGGAAGTAAAGGGATCTCATAAAACCTAAGAACAGGAGTCCTGTCTGAGGTCAGAAAGTTCTGGAAGCAGAAAGTAGAGACCCATGCAGAACCTCAAGCATTCCTCTTTTTCTTTCCCTCATCTCTGTTTCTTTCTGGGTGCCTTTTGTCCTTCTCTCAAAGCAGACTGACCGACCCTTCCACAGTCACTTTTGCAGGACCTGGCTGCTGACAGATGGTAAGCACACACATTACACCTGATCACCTGATTATTGGAAGAGATTAGCCGGAGTATCTCTAGTTCCCAATCCAAACCACCTGGAGAGGAGACACGAAGGGCTTGAGTTAGGTTGGGTAGGGTCAAGAATAAATTCTTTTACCCGAGCTCTGTGAGGGGTTCAGATGTGAATGGTTCTACTTCAGACAGGTTTATCACCCCCACCCTAAATCTCCTCCCCTCAATTTATCAGACAACTAGGGACATGACTAGGGACTAGGGACATGTCAGAGGACTAGGACATGTGGTATGAGAGGCACAATCACCATTGCCCTGATGGGCAGGCATGTCCACCAGTAGAGCATATTTAACTTTGAGAAGGGCCATTTGTGGTCAGCCTCCCATCAGACTGGAGAACTGATAAGACCAATCCTCATTTCCCCCTAGGACAAGAGTTTTATTGGGACAAAAGAATTTAGTGTTGAAAATGGGAAAATATGGGTGGCTGGTCACCCTAGATTTGCTGGTTACAGGCCAAATCTTCATGCCATTCTAGGACAGGATCTTAGCTTCCTGATACTCCAACTAAAATTGTGACCTTGGGACCCATGCACAGGTATCCAACCACCCTCCCCCGTTCATACCTGATCAAGGGTATCCTGAGTCCTGTATCTTTAGACATAAAATAGCAATCACTTATTAGCATTCCTGTGTGAGTGATTAATTCAGTGTTGGTAGAATCACAGACTAGTAGAAGGAGTGTCTTTCCCGATTTTAACCAGGAATGTAGAATTCAATGGGAGGAGGGGGGCTGTACATCCAGAGGGGCACAGGGATGGCCTAACATGGTGCCAGTTTTTCCAGGGCCCTCTGTCCCACTACAGGGCACACAGATTTCATGAAATTCTTTGGAAATTGAAGGACCCATTAGAAGAGAAAAGGATCTCACGTCTTCCTGTCTTCCCGTCTCTTTTGACTGTCCGACGTTGAGGTTGACATCCCCTATCACAGAAGGTTTCAAACTCAGAGTCTAATGCTCCAATTTAGGGAAGTGACTCTCAACTGCGGCTGCATATTAAAATCACTTGAGGAGCTTTTAAAAACATATACCATGCCTCCTTCCTACCCCCATGCTAATTAGATCAGAACCTTCAGAGTAATAGCTCAGGCTTTGGTGTCTGAGAAATGTTCCCCTGGGGTGATTCTAATGCACCGCCAGGGGCTCGGCTTCTCTCTTATAATGGAACCTGTTACAAAGAATAGGCTTTCCTGATTGATGAACCCAAATCAGCCAGGTGCATCTTCTTCTTGGGGCTGGGTGGAGGAAGCACAGCTGGTGTCCTGGTGTCTTGGGGACAACATTTCATCCTCCTGACTCAGGGTGCTTGAAAGCCGTCTCCCTAACCTTTTTATACCACACAATGCTAAGACACCTAAGTTAGCCTACCTTTATCTTTGTCACAGGAGGGAGAAAGGTGTCGGTGCTGTGTCTCATGAAAAGCACCCCATGGCAGGTGGGCACAAGTCCAGCCTCCCAGCCTTGAAGGTGGCCCAACTTCCCAGCCTGGCCCAAGAGCTCCTGTGTCCAGGGCCAGAGGGGCAGGAGGCATTTAGGGTGGACTTGGCTACTTGTCCCACCTTACCCTGCAGCCAAGGTGGACAGTGCCTATAAACACTCCAAAAGGAGTCCAAGGGAGTTATTTTTCCAAAAAGAAACATCAGGGAAGAGACAAAAGGTTTAGGGGGAAAATATTGCAAATATATAGAAAGAAAGCAAAAGGAGTGTGTGAAGGAGCTGGGAGCGCCTCCCGGAAGTGTTGGGACCTACTCAGAAGCAAAGTGTTTGGACTCCAAGTTGCCAAAAGATCAAAGGGGAGCAAACTCTACTCCCCTATCCCACCTTGTACCGTAAACATTAGGGGGAATCCTTTGATTTTGTTTGAACATCTGTAATATGGATTTAGTGCAGTCTGTTTGATCTGTCTGGGTGTACCCTTCCAAAGAGCATCCAAGGGCCTTAGTCCCAATTCCTAGCATCCAAGGGCCTTAGTACCATGTGTTCCCCTAGCTCCCTTTCCAGTGGGGAAATGCTGAGGGCCATTGCCAAGTAGGAATGACGCATCGAAATTTCCTTGCCAGCGTACCCCATGTTAATTGGACTTGCCTTGGAATTTCGCTGTTGACATTGCATGTAAGGTGACCTTGCTCAAGGACCAGGGTGGATCCGGGTTTAGAGCTGATCAGGTTTGAGGAAGTATCCCGCTCCTTGAGTTTAAGGCGTTCCTTGTTTAAGACAAGTTTAGGGCGTTCCTGGTTTAAGACAATATGGGTTTTAGGGAAGTTGGAGGTTGAAGACCATTGCTGCTGGGAATAGGGTGTTCCTGCTGCTTGTTCCTGTTGAGTTCTCCTGAGATTCAAATGGGATTTGGAAAAAAGCCTTGTGGAGTAGGTGAATTGGGCGGCAGATTTGGGATTTCCCCTGAACGTGTGTGGAGGCGGGTGTGAGTTCGGGAATGAAGAATTGCTGTTTGAAACTACAAGGTGTATGGTGCCTCCTGATCTTGGGCCCAGCCAAGACATTGGGAGGGAAAGAGGCCCAGGGAAGGAAAGACATGACTGCACATGTCTCAGCTAGTTTGGGGTAGGGCAGAAAGAGCCCCCCAGAGAATTCCTGCACCCTTACCCACTAGTCTCCTGCCCCCTTTTTCAGGACAGAAAAATGCTTCCTCCCCAGCTGCTACCCGCCTAACAGGGTCAGCTCTAAGTGAGGTTACAAGATAAGCCTTGAGCCCATGGGCTGATCTCACTTTGGAAGAAAACATCACAGTCATAATGAGATTACTGCAACTCTATGTTCTGTGGGGTGGATGTTCATTGTACTCTCATCTGTCACTGTGACTTTTTCTTTCATTTTTTTTTCAACAGTAAAGCATGTTATTTCAGACTAGTGAGACAGGTCCACATAGATGAGTAAATATAATGAATTTGACCCTGTTTTTGTTTTTTTTAAGTGTTTTCATTATTGGAAAATGTGCTTGATCAACCCAGTTAGGGGACTTGGTTTCTTATGATCCTTAAGGGGTCCCCTTTAAGTGACATATGTACAACAAATATTTTTGAGTGCCTGCTGTATGCTGCTGTGATAATTGCTGGAATTACAATGATGAAAACAGTTAATCCATCTCAACTCTTCAGAAGTTTACTGTAGGATGGGAGTAGAATAAATAGTTAATTAAGAAAATACTGTCTGTAGGCTACAAGCATCTTTGGGATGATAAAATGCATCTTTTTTTTATGTAGCTTTAACATCTTCTAATTTTCTGCCTCGGATTTTCTTTATGCTTTTCATATCCTCTGCAAACTTTTTTCATCGTGGAAAATATAAAGGGCAAGATGGGCCCAGCTGCGTTTCAAGGGATCACGAATCCTGACTCAGTAGAGCAAGATCCAACAAAGTCTTTCCTGCATCCGGCAGCCCCCATGGAGCACATAACCTTTATTGGACTAAAAATAATGAAGCCCCATGTATTTGCTGGTCTGATCAAAGCAGTAAGCAAGCACATCTCTCTGTCCCAACCTCTGCAAAAGACAGGAGGGTGTATCTTCCTTTGGCCCCATCTCTAAATCTCCTCTAACCCTGAAGTCCCAACCTGTCTCCAGGCGGAGGGGAGAAGGGGCTCCTGTTATCTGGCTTTGCTGATAGGCTGAGCTAATGGCACGAAGCTCTCTTGGCTGCAGAGTGGAAGAAACAGAACACCAATTTAAATGATGAAAAAAAAAGTCAAGTGAATCTATCATCATTAATCTTGCTGTCAGTTTTAATTTTGGGGACATTACCTCACTCAACACCAGTTGAAAAGAGCTGCCAAAACCGATGATGTCATCATCACTAGCCACGTCTGACCCCTGCCTGCTGATTCTCAGAGCTCGGGGCAAGTTAATAAATCCCCTGGCGCTGGGACACACAGTGGAGTTTTATTACAATGAAGGTATAACCCATGATGTTGTTTCAATTAAATGGCCTGAGAAAAATACTTTCTTGTGTTTAGCAAAACTGTAAAACATAATTATCTTATGCAGTGGGGCCTGTTCATTGTGCTGACGTGATGATTATATATCCTCTTCTCCCTCTCTCTCTCCTTCTCTCACACAGGCTCAGAGTGGAATAGCAGGAGAGCAGTTCTAAAGACAGCTAGGGAGTCCACATGAATATCTTTCCCAGGCCACCCTCTCTAGACCCTGGGGGCTGCTGCACACACCTCAGTGACCACGCTGGGGCATCCAGGCTCCTGTACCATGCAAAGGACTGAGGCTGTGTGGGGCTTGGCATTGAGCAGAAACCCGACTCTCTTAAAAAGGGACTGGAGAAAACCTCGAGACCCGCAGCCGCTCACTCAAAGCTTGGACCTCGCTGCTCTTTGAATATTTATGAATGATTTCTCCCAGCCTCTTTCTGACTGCTTAGAATATTGGTTTTTGCCCATCTTCTTACTCATGGCCCATCTGAGGTCCCCTGGATTGACCTTCCTGTGAAGTCATTCTGCTGAACAGATTCCCCCATGCCAGGAGTACAAAGAGCTACAAACATGGGCTTTGCGGGAGCCTTGCCACTGCATTGAAGGTGCTCGGGGAAGGAGGTTGAGAAGAACTCTTCCTTCCAGCTCAGCTTTCTCTTAAGTGGCACAAAAAATTTCAAGGATACCACTCTTGCTGAATGTTGTAGCAACACTTTGGGGCGATTATCTTCTGTCTTAATCATCGTTTATATGGTTGCGCATGTGCAACCCATGCACACACACACACATACACACACACATAGACACGCACATGCACACACAGGCACAATTTAAAAATTTCAAGCAAAATGGACATTGGCAAGAACCAGAATGCAGGCCTGAATCCCCACGAGCACCCTCCCTCTGGCTTTCTCCAAGTGACGACTCCTGAACTCCTCTTTCCCCCCACCCAGCAGCTCCCCTAAATGGCCCTCATCAATCACGCCAAACGGTGCAGTTGGCTTTGCACAGAGCACGAATGAGGACCAGTGGAGACCCCCAAGCTCATTTTTCATGCCCATCTCAAACAGGAACTGATCCTAGGTCTCCAGGGGTGAGGGTGCCCTACACAAATTCACTGTCTCTTTTGCCCTCCCAGATGGAGGCCCTTTGAAATTCTTCATTATTTTTTTTAATGGTGCAGTATAAAGTATATCCACGCATAAGATACATGGCCTGATGTAAGACTCTGTGACTGCACCCTGTTAACAGTTCCTGCTGTTTATGGAGGATTGTCTTGACATACTTGTTAAACCTCAATAAATATGTTTTTAATAACCATATGGTATTTAACATATAATAACTGTCTTATTAAGACTAAATTAAATCCTTGCTCATGACACTTAATTTAAAGTGTGACCAGTGTTTTCCTGGCAGTGAGGACACTTCTTTGGGAGAGAAGAGAATGTTTAAGAATCATGTATTTGATGATATGATTAAACTGCATTTAAAACATGTAGAAAAGGGGGATCTGAGTGAAAATAACTTGCAGTGGAGTTGCAACAATATTAGAAATTGACTAAAGGGACACGTGCAGAACCCTGTTGCCATGAGTGCATCAATGTGGTGCCCATAAGTCTCAAGGGTACACAAACAGCCCAGGATGCCTTCCTTTTTGTTCTTCATGCTCTTTGTCACTGCTCCACAAAAAGGTGACAGACTATGCTGATTCAGGGCATAACACAGATGAGGACGCAATGTCCTTACTTTCTGGGTAGGTGACACCTGCCCTTTTTACTGTGTTTGTGACTACACTCATTTTGACCCTTGGTTGCTCAGTTTTCCACAGAGATGGCTGAAAAAGCTCTAATAGTTAACACTGCGATCATCTCTCATATGGAGCTGAATGAACAGGAAGAGGGTAGCAGGAAGTTGGCTGGAGAGACAGGTTCTGGATGGTAGAAATGGTCCAGGAAGGGAGGTCCCGGAAGTGCTCTGGAGCAGGAGGAGGCAGAAGGTGGGCGGAGTCTCAGATGGAAGCCCATGGGGTTGGAAGGACTGGGAGGGAGAGAACAACCAGTGAGAGCTAGACCAGGTGTGCAAGAGAGAGCAACTGCTGCAGTCACAGGGCTGAGCTGACATCAGGAAAGGCTCCCTGAAGAGGGTGGCCCTAGTTCTGGGCCTCAAAAAACCTCAGGATGGGCCTTTAAGTCCTTGCTAATATTAAACAGGGGGCACGTTCGTCTAGACGGTGGTTCTGTAGGACTCTACCTGCAGCTTTGGCGTCACCTAGGAACTTTTAGAAATGAAAAATTCTTGAGCATCACTCCAGACCTCTGCAACCAAACATTCTCGGGGTGCAGCCAAGCATTTTAGAGCTTCTAACTCCTTTAAGTGATTCAGATGCATACCAGATCCTGAGACCCATTGTTCTAGACTTTGCCAATCTCAGCAAAGATTGTGGGGGGCTGTTCTCTGCCTTGTAGGATCTTTAGAAGCATTCTTGGCCTCTATTAACTAGATGCTCCCCCGCTCTCCCCACTGTGAAAGTAGAAATGTCTCCAGAAATTTCCAAATGTCTCAGAGAGCAAAAACATACCCCCTGGTTGGAAATTGCTGCTCTAGAAGAAAGAACAACATTTGAAGGCCTGATATGGTGGTGCAGGCCTTTAATCCCAGCAGCTAGGGAGGCTGAGGCAGGAGGATCATGAGTTCAAAGCCAGCCTCCGCCAAAGCAAGGCACTAAGCAACTCAGTGAAATCCCGTCTGTAAATAAAACAAAAACGGGAGGAGGGGGCGCTGGGGATGTGTCTCAGTGGTTGAGTGCCCCTGAGTTCAATTCCCATGTGGCAAAAAAGAAAAAAAATGCAAAAGCATTTGAAGAATATGACGACAGGAGTCTCAGAGTATGTTTGACAAATAAGGAGTACTCCTTCATGAGATTTCTAGGTACAAGTATGAGAGAATTGGAAAATAAGATAGAAAGTTAGGATAGAGCCCAAGCAAGGAAACCATTGAATGGTGTGTTATTTTGAACTTATTCTAGAAGACAACAGGGAGCCACTGAAAACTGTAAGTAGAGGGTGACATAACCAAGGCAAGAGCAGTGATTTTCAAACAATTATAAGGAATATGCTATGAAGGCTCAGTGCGTTGAGACATGCCTTTCACAAAACTCTTCGAATCCTATGTCACTTGTAATGCCATCTGATTTTTACCAATGCTACCCTGTTATATTTTATCTTTTTTTTTAATGAGGGCCATGATACACAACATGATTTCATGATCAGCAATGGGCACTGTCACACTCTCACCACACTGGGTGAGGAATCAGAGGCATTAGAAATCAGGGAGCAGAGAGACGGACAGAGAGGACTGTTTGAATAGACTCCAGAAAAGATCCTGGAAACCTGTCTCTAAGGTATGAAGGAAGATCTGATCTGGGCAGGGATATTTCAGGTATAAAGATTATAGGGAAGAAGGAGAAGCCAGAAAAAAAAATGTCATTAGTTTTTGCTCCTAATATAAATAGCTGCCTAAGCAATAGAATTTGGGAAGGCTGTTTTTTCTTTCTCTCCTAATTTTGGCAGAGGAGAGTTAAATTTACAACTAGGGACCTGCCGCATTTGGGCTGCTCAGCATGGTGGACATGTCCAGAGAAGCAGGAAAGGTGGGCGAGGGTCAGGACGGGTGCCGTGGATTTATGAGTCATGGCCAGGCAAGGCCTGGAGGATGAGGTCACCAGAGGAGCGGGAATGCGGTTTTCCGAGACTAATGGCCTCCCTCTGTATATTGATATCTATCTGAGTACTAATATTCATTTCTCGTGTCATAAAGACCCACTCAGCAGATGGTATCACATCATAAACAAGTCACCGTGAACCCAAGACGTGATCCTTGCCCTCTGAGAGGCTGTAATTCATTTAGGCCCCCCTGCACTGATCGGAATCATATTTTCATATTTATTTGGCACCAGCTATTATCCATCCACGATTCTTAGTGCAAGAAGTAAAGCAGAGGAGCAGAACAAATACCCCTGCCAGCATGGAGCTTATTTTCTAGTAGAGGTTTTACAAACAGTAAAACAAACAAACAAATGAAACCCGCATGATGTTGGGTGGTGGTAAATGCCATGGGAAAAGTCCAACGTGGAAGGGCTGGGGTGCTAGAAGGGCTGAGAGAGCTACAGCTTTTAATCAGGGCCATTGAGCCTCTTGGGAGTCCCTGGTTTCCTGGGATGAGTGGCATGACCAGGGCTGAAAGTGTCATGAGACTGGTCCTTGGTGGTCCAAGGCAAAGTGTGCTGGTAGCTGTGGACCCTGAGGGTAGGAGGCAGGGTCAGATCTAACAAGGAACACTTGGTTCTAGGGACCTCTGTCTCCTCCTGGTTTGGGAGGTGTGGAGGCCTACTTTTTGATTTCTTCCATCTTTGTCCCATTTATTAAATTCTGCCTTTCCAAAGCTCTTTTGCATCTTCTTTTCATTTAAAAGTCACAAAACTCTCTGAACCTGAGGACTTAGGACTTCTTATGACAGGAGAGAGTAATTTAAGCTCCATGCTCTAGCTGACTCTGGGAGTCTGTGGAGTGTTAGAAGTTGTTACATTAAAAAAAAATTATGGAAAAAATATACTTGGGAAATATGGGGCTAAACAAGTTTAACAGATTCCTGACTGTAGAACTTCACAAAAGCTTTTGTGTGCTGTTGAGCATTGCAAAACTCCAAGAAAGAAACAGAATATGCGTGGTTTTCCAAACTTATTTGGCCATAGAAACCCTTTGTTATAGGAACTGTCTCAGTGAATCATTGTTTCAAGGTATACTGTTTGGAAAACAGTCTGTTGAGTATCTTTTGTAATGATGGACAAATCATTTAGATCTTCTAAGTTATACTGTCCTCATCCATAAAATGAGAGTATTGGCCTGCTGCCCAAATAATGTTAAGAGCCCCATAGGGCTCTGTCCTTCACCTTGAACTTGCTCAGGATTTTATCAGTGATTTCAGTGAACAGAAAAGAGATCATTGTCACATCCGAAGAGAGCACTGGGTCAGGAGGGGTGGCTGATAGGTCAAATGACACACTGAAGCCTTAAACTTATCTCGACATGTTAGAAAGATAGGTCGAACTCTCTTCAGAAAATTTAATAAGGATGAGTACATTGTTCTGCTTTTTGAGTTAAAAAAAAAACTAATTTTTAAAGTATAAGATGTGGGAGATCAAGCATGTGGTGGTGTTGGATGGGTGGGGGGGACTCAAGAACTTGATTGACCACAAGCCCAAGATGAACCATCAGGGGATGTCGTTGCTCTAAAACGGATCCCAATGAGGGTTCGTCAACAGAATGATTCTGTTCTGAGCAAGATGTGAGTTCCCCAAGGACTAGCTTTTCTGATCAGTTACGACCTGGAATATTAATATACAACATTTTTGAGTGCTTATTAGATGCTTGTCACCATATCATACAAGTTATGTGTATCATCTGATAGAGTGCCTTCAGTGGGTACAGGAGGGACTGTTATTATAATTATGTCCAATTATTATCATTATGACACCGAGGCTCAGAGATATCACCCAAAGTAAGTGGTAGAGCCCAGATTTGAAAACAGAGTATTCCAGAATCTGTATTGTTCTGACTTGGTATCATGACATTTGATGATGTGAGGGGATGCGTGATACTGTTCAGAAGGGTGAAAGGGCTTAAGAAAGATCATCGAACTTACAGAAGCTTTCCTTTTGAAGAGGCATTAACTATGGCTAATGTCATTATTTATAGAGTGGAAGTAGAAATGGTTATTGGGAGCCATAGGGAGAAAGATTTCAATTCAGTATAAGGAAAGGCTTTTTAAGGGTTTGACTAATCCAAAATGGATCAGGAACCCTCAGGAAGTAGAGGTTAAATGACCACGGGTTCCAGTTCTTGGTAAAATATTGAAACTTGAATCTTATTAATTGAGCCACTTTTTACTTAATTGAATAACTCAGTCAATCTGTCTGCCTGTATTGCTCAAAATACTTGGAGATCCCAATGCACTGTGACACAGTTCCACTTTTAAAGAATAACTTATCATGTTGGGAAGACGGACAAGTACCCCAATTACAGATTCTCCTGCACCAAACAATGACTTTGTTTGTGAGTTCAGCCTTCGTGACTCTCTTTACCTTAAATTTCGCCCCCTTCGGAACCAAGAAAGCTTGAATTTGAGCTTATTGGATGCGGCAAAAGATACAGCCTTTGGACAATTAATGGTGGTCAGAGTCTGAGGCAACCCCTCTCGTGGTGAGAGAGCAAGGACACACGGGCGGGAGGAGGGAATAGTTGAGGAAGCATTAGCTGAAGAAGACTGAGT